GACATGTTTTCAAACCTGCGGGCAACGTAGAGGGCTGATGACCCCACTGGCACAGGGATACTATTCAGGGGCCTTAGCTGCAGAAAACCAACAACCCAAAAGCAAAGCTCCCAAAAAAATTGCACTGCCTATTGCTTCACAGCACCCTGGCAACTCTAAAGGTATTTACCACCTTACCGTTGTCTTCACCTTACCGGAAGCACCTGGCCAACCACCTCGCCCCCAACACCTCCGCACGACAGGTCCACCGCCTGGAAGCTCATCGAGGCCACGAAGAGTGGCGAGTGGCTCGGCCCCTCCTGACGCACACGGATCTCCGTCGGCTGCCTCCTGGCGCCATGGGGCCCAGGAAAGGCGAAGCCATGAAGTGGCCGGTGCACACAGCGTTCAACTCCATATGAAGTGACAACGAGAATACCCGCGCCATGTCCAGTGCACAAACGCAACATCCAAATGGGTACCGCTACGGGTGCCGCTAGCCCCCCTAGGGCCCCCGCAATGGGTCTACCCTAGCTCGGGTATAGGCGTAGCACCGGGAGTTCTGTATGATCCTATTACCCTCTTGCGGGTCTTATCTCGTCGATACTTTCTTGGATTTGCGGGGGGGGGGGGCAGGGTCAGTAAGTAGACACAGATGTTTCTTGGACTCTTGAGGGATTGAATCAGAGCGTTGCAATACTCGGACTCTTCCCTCGCCAAGAGTGCGACTGCAGCGGCTCGAGTAAGACGTGCAAGGCACACCACTTCTTCAAGTTTTCATTCCTCAGCAGATGCAGTGCAAAGACGTCGGAAAGACCACCGGAGAATAGCGAAGACAGCCTGCCTCCTAAAACCTCTAGGCTCAGATGGGCAAATGATCATGGCTGCGCCAGCAGTCAAAAAAAAATATTGCTCTTGTATAACCAGCATAAGAGGGAAAAAGTCCCAGCCGCAGCCTCTGTGCCACCCTGCCTGTAGAGAAGGTCTCGCCGCATGTCCGTGGTTATGAGCAGCTCTCTTTTTGGCAAACCAAGCCCCGGCGGAAAGTCGGGTGCCACCCCATCCGCCTCCCTTTTTGGATGAAAACCAAGGCGCAAGTGCCCCCGTGCAATCAACAGCGTGAAGTTGCCAGCGCCATCATCCGACCTCGGGGCTCGGGTGGCACCGGGCAGGGGTGGCTCAGCCGAGAATGGGGTCCATTCCATTAGGTCAAAAACCTCCTTACAAAGCTGGATGGAGTGGAAACCTATCTGGAATGCTCCCTGCAAATACGAACTGTGCTTCCTGCATTCTTCGTTTCGCAGCGGCCAGCCTAACTCTCTAGGCTTGCTCTGTGATGTGCCAATCTTTGAGAATCGCCAATGGTCTCTTCTTTCTTCACTCTTCGGACGTCCAATCTGATTGGGCACCCCCCACCACAATAGACGTGGAAACCCACCAGTGTATCCCACAACCGCCGAGCTGCTGTGGGGCTACTGCTTGCTCCGGCGGCGCCTGAGCCTCAAATCTTCGACTCGGCCGAGTCGATGCTTCACAAGCCCAGTTCGACCGTCATTGGGCCGCTGGACCATATCCTTGATGTCGACATGTGGGTCATTGAACGCCACCAGAAATGAAGAGTGCGACCAAAAAATGCTTCCAAGCATGTCCGAACCGCAACCTGGTGAGTCCTGTTAAGAGGACATCCATCTTCCCCTTCCAGTGCCACTTCTGCGATCGAATTCTGAGGCGCCCCTGCGCGGGCAGCCAGCGTCTGCCGCCCAGGGATCACCCCAGGGGTCACCGGGCGCGCCCCCGGCGCCACTGGGCGCGCCCCCGGCGCCACTGGGCGCGGCCCCGGCGCCACCGGGCGCGGTCCCGGGACCACCCCACCTCTCGCTGGGATGAAACCAGGCGCTCGGATCCCGCTGGGCCCCGGGGGCCGCGGGGCAAAGGCCTTGGGCACTCGCGGTGGCACCTGAGGGCGTGGTCGGTGCGTGGGAAAGAGGCGCTCAAAGCCATCTAAGACTTATATAAAAGGATTAGGCAAGAAAGAATGTGTGATAAAGACATTGATCCCTTGATCTGGAACAGGACCATTTACAGTAGATCATGCGGCCAGGCCCTGACTGATCCCCTACCTCTTTCTCTATCGTCTTCACTCGAATCGCAAAAGCCAGCTGCATGGCTGAATCCATGATGTTGGAACCCTGTCCCCAATCGTTCTACTGCACATATACAAGCGTCACATTGTCCCCAACCGGACCAAGCAGTTTGCCACCCTCTCAGCCCTGATTCTTGGTCCAACTGAAGCAGCCGATCCCTCCGAAGGCACTGCCGGCTCGGGGACAGAAGTCACCACGGCCGCACCGCCAGCTGCTTTGCGCTTCTTAGCGGCCGGTGGGTCCCTGGGAAGTCGGAGGGGTGGTTGAATCGAGAGAGTTCAGGGAGTTCTTTTTTCTGGGTGGTGCTTGTTTGCAGGGCCTTTTCCTGAATTCCCTCGTGTTCCTTGTTGCATCCACTCAGTCCAACAAACCAGCTAATTACAGCACTTCCTTTCACCTCGTTGTGAGTCTTGATTTGTCTCATAATAGCAGTCCTTTCACCTTCATTTACTCAGTTTACTCCCCACCTATGCCCATCTACGCCCAGCTACGAGAGCGCGGAAGCCAACATCCCAGATCCCGAGAGGAAGCGATGCATATCGAGCAACGCCGCCCTCAGCCGGTCTCCGAAGAAGCACAAGCGATGGTCTAAGCACGCATGATGCCCTCAGCCATGTCTCTACAGCTGGCAACAAGGCTTGGGGACTGAGGATGGCACGCTTGCGCACCCTTCTTGCCTTAGTTTGCATGTCAGAAACTGCGCGAGTAGAGGGGTCGACCTGGCATTCCTTGCAGCAAAGGCACTGCTCGCCACAGCAAAAGAGGTCTTGGGCACTCCTGGGCAAATGAAACAAGAACAAAAAGCAAACACACAACTACCATCATCCTCAAGCAGACTTGTTGGACTCTCCTGAGACTCAATCAACACACCAAAAAAATAAACAACCAAAATCACATATTCTAACTCAGGTTCGCCGGATTTACGCACCTACCAAACCCCCTCTTGCCAAAGAATGGCCCAATCCCACAAGCCCCACCTGCCAGTTGAAGCGTGCCTCATTCACAGGTGGTGGTCAGGCAGTCTACAAAAGTCATAGCTCCAATGTCTTAGTCTGTTAGTCTTTTGCCAAGGTTCAGTCTATGTTCCAAAATTGTACACCGTTGTGGTGGGTACCCTCCCAGAAAAGAACAAAAGTTTGATCAAGCCCAGGGAACATGGAAAAAGGATGTCCGGAGCCTGAACTTGCGCTAGTCACCTAGAACTGTTTGGAGCCCTCTAAGCATGAACAGAATCAGCCGGCCATGGTGATGGTCCAATGGCCGTGGTGTCGGCTATTTCGGCTGGTGAACTCCGAAACTGCCGTGGTGTCGGGTGCTATTCTTATGTTGAGCTCCATGAAGCTTGGAACTTGTTCAAATTGCGAAGGACAAATCGAGGAGGAAAATAGGAAGCATGCAGCATAAATACAAAAAACAGTTGAAAACACAACTATACAAAAGTAGTAACAGGGCCATGAAGCTCCCCAAGAACCGACGATGGATGGTCCCTGGGCTGCCGCACACCCAAAGCCCTTCCCTTGGGGAGCGAAGCTGACCTGAACCGGACGGTGCATTTAAGCTGGGCCTGGGGGGGTAAGAAAACGAAAGGATCAAGGCCAGGCATACGTTTTGACGCGGCATAGTTACAAACAGGCAGGTTGCAGCGGTCTGTGTACTAGTCACTACTAGTAGTCCTTTTTGCAAGACCGTCTGGACATGTTCTGGGCGTTCATGGCACCATCCCGGCGCATTGTTCGGGATGTTCAAAGATGCACTTGAACAGGTGGAGGACCATGCGGAAGTTCTGCCTCTGACCCTGAAAACTCGGCAACACCATCGCGCCTCCAGTTGAATGCCATTCCTCAGGCCCCGAGACTCCCATGACACCAGCGGGGCCCCTTTTTGGAGCCTCCCCGGCACCCGGGCCTTCCCGCCTTTCGAGGATTTGGTCGGATCTGGGGTTAAGACCCCGCAGTGACCAGACAGGGCTGAAATCATTGAAAAAAATAAAAAACAAAAAATAAGCAACAAATAATCAAAAAATAATCAACTCAAGAACTCAAATCCAAAACAGACTCAACAACAAAACTCAAAACAAACTCAAAAACAACTCAAAAACAAACTCAAAAAACACTCAAAAAAAACTCAAAAACAACTCAAAAACCATGTTTGAGTACAATTTGAGTCCAATCTGAGTCCAATTTGAGTCCAATCTGAGTCCAATTTGAGTCCAATCTGAGTCCAATTTGAGTCTCTCAATTGAGTGGCTTTGGAATCTGAGTTTCTGGTCTGAGTTTTTTTTGAGTAGGTTGTTGTTTTTTATTTTTTTCATCTTGACCCCTTGCTGTCTGGGTCCGCGTGATCTTAAATCTGGGGCATCACATGTGTTCAGCGATTTGAGCTGGTACACTCCAACAAACACATCACACAAAGTAGTTTCCCCCATCCAGGAGGGCCCATGTTCGTAGAGGGACAAGAGTCTTCCAAGCGGGAACCATGTGAGTCTGGGTCGGAGGGTAGCCTCTTCCAACGCCAAGCATCTTCTGACAAAATCGGTTCACCTCGCCCGCTTCGACCATGCCATGCGGAGCTCTCACGCGGCGGCCTTTCCCATCGCACCCGAGCCGTTCCGAAGTGATGGATTCATCGCTTAAGCTTAAGCCTCTGCGGGGCGTAGCAACGGTCACGTGCTCCCCAAAAAGACATGGCGAACGATGGATGCATTCGGGATTCTACAACAATAGTGCCATTCAAATGGCACCTGAAGCATTCCAAATAAACTTGGCTCCTAGTAAAACGGTACCCCCTCTGGCCCCTTGTGCATGTCCGCTGTGGTGATCGCGGCCCCGAGGCAACGTGCCGCCCAAATCGCCGGGCACCAGTTCTAAGGCCCGCCACTTCCCCCCAGCGTCTCCACGCTGACGAAAGTACCTGCAGATGCAGAGCTCGTCTCTGGAGGCAGCTCTGCGGAAGTTCGGGATAGCAGCCCCCACACTTGAACAACCCAAATCCAATATTGTCGGGAGAATAAACTAAGGCAACGATGGTGCACGAACCAATGAGTGTTTGCAACTCAAGAAGCTTGACTTCTGGGTGCCCAACATGGAAATCAATGAAAATCATGCCGGACATGTGTGGGCAGCTGGTTCTGTCCATGTCTGAGTCCAGAAAGAACTCAAAAGTCTGCACAAATTTCTTGGAACGTCCCTACCAGCCAGCATTTACAAATTGAAATGGTCCCTGAATTTGGTAGATGATGGTCGATGAGATATGGGCCCATACTCAACGACAACGGATGAGCCAACCTCCAAGCTTCTGACCGCCGAAGCAAACATGGCATGCTGGATGCAAGAAACACACACCAGGACCTAATGTAGACTCTTGATTCATGATTATCAGAAAACACCCCCACACACAAAAATATATAAAATGGTGTTCAATCCAAACGGATTAGTTATTAATTAAGAATCTAAATTAGGACGAGTTCCAACCACCCCCAACTGCTGGATACTGCTGCTAGGGGCAGTTACCCACCGACCCTGGCAGATTTTGTCGCACCGGCCGAGTGAGGCATTGAAGAAGAGCCAGGGCTGATGCTTGCCTCAGCTGGGTGTTGCTCACGGATGATCACTTGTTTCCTATTTTAGTGGTCGATCATCCCTTGAACCATTATTTGATGAAATCTTCGACATGATGAACTCTTCTCAGACTCCAACCGTGGCACCCTCACGAAGGCACTAGGCCACCGGACCCTCCTGATTCTGCCGCTCGTGCATGTACCAGACCTGGGCCGGTGCCGCTGGGGAGCTCTGACTCGGTCGTGCGACCTCCGATTCATCTTCGCCAACCGGGAGAGGTCTCCCACAAGTAGCGATGCCCTTTGTTACTTGCAGCGTCCGATCGCTCCTAGTAAGGCCAGGAGCCCCGTTCGTAGCGTTCCTTGCTCCGTTCGTAGCGATGCCAGGAGCCCCGTTCGTGGCTATTTGCTACTAGTAGAGCCCCTTATATATGCATCCTGGGTGCTTCTACATCCATGGGTATCTTCGCATCCAAGCACTGATGCCCACTCTTGGGAGCACACCCCAGGCAGTTGCGGAATCGGCGTGCCCACCTGTGTCTTCACCCAATTCGGACCTCAGCGCTCGCTGGACCAACCGGAAATGGCCAAAGCATAGGTCTTCGCAGTGAGCAAGAGAATGACCACCACCCTCACTATAGAGACCTAAGACTTAGGATCCAGCCACCCCAATTCCTGAGTCCCAGAAGAAAAGCGCCCAAGAGTGAGACCCCCGCCGCACGCACCCCGCGATCACTGAGGCCCCCGATCCAACTGGCTGAAAGGCTTCGTCCCTCAGCACAAGTGCTATCCGGTTGAGAAGGACAAATCACGGAGGTCCAAGGTATCTAGAACTACACATTCCTCAGAACTTCTCCACTCAAGCAACCTTCACTCTGTGATACTCTGTGTGTGGGATGCTCCTTTTCACGCTTCAGGGCCCCTCTGTGCACATGAATTCCGCTGGCTCACTGGAGCTGCACCAGGTCTCCTGAGCCTTTTGCGCCGCCAGATCCTTGGGCCTCAACTCTCTGAGAGCCTCGACCAGATCCAGGGCCAGGGGTTGCCAAACATGGTGCTCCTCGACGCAAACCGTCCCACGGCGCAAAGAGAGGTGGCAGCGGTGCAGGAAATTCCGGGCGCAGAGCCGCAAGTCTTCCGTCAGAGTTTGTGGGCCCGTGTATTTCCCATCCTGGGCGCAGCGGTGGCAGATTCACGTGGTGTTCCGGTGGGCGCAGAGAAAAAAGAAGAGAGAGAGAGAGAGGGAGAGAGAGAGAGAGATAGATGGAGTTTTGGCAGAACTGCACCACCCACGCGCCCAAAAAGCTGCAAAACTTCCAGAGGAGACCCCAAACAGGAAAAAGGATGCCACGGAAGAACATCCGCAGAGAAACAGCTCTTTGTGAAGCCATGTCCCGGGCTCAAAAGCAAGGAAGTGGTGAAGACAAACGCGACGGCCAAAGACAACAGGAGACAGCCAAAGATACCCCAAAAAGGCGAGCCAACAACCCGCCACACACGAAGACAAGCGGAGAAAACCCTGAAGAACCCCTCACAGGTAAACCTGTTGGGAGATAAACAAGGAGAAAACAGGACTCAAAGACTGCAAGTGTTTCTGATCAACTAGAATTGCACAAAAAGAAAGTCGCTTGCTACTCACCAGGCATCGGTCACCGTGGCGTGCCCTTTCCAGGCCAAATGGCTCCGGATCTGATGCTTCCGCCCGGTGACGATGCGGATCACGAGCAGAGCGAAGCTACGACCCGACGGGTCCTGCGGAAACAGCGGCGTGGGCGAACTTGAGGATTTGAATGGATAGTGCATGATGATATGACGGAGGTGAATGGATCCAAAAAAGTCACTGACACTCTGTTACACTCCTTGTGGATGCATCATGGTTTTCGTGATGTGTCGTGGAAAGCCTTCCTTTCTGGAGATTTGGCCTATTCCACAGATCTGGTCGTGGATTACGATTGGTTTCACACACATCTCATTGGAGATGTGAGGATGGGCACCTGCCATCGCCAACAGGATGAAGATAGTGGATGTGAGAGGATGTCATCCTCCCAGATCCTCTCCCCATTTGGTGGCATCTCATCCTCCCAAACTCCTGCAGCTTTCACACATCTTCGCCCCCAGATCTTCACCGGGTTCACCCTCCCAGTCTCCGTCACGTGCCCCAGCACTCGGAGCCGCGTTTCGGAGGGCTTGCCCATGCCGTGCGCCGCGGCGACCGCGTCATCGCTCCAGCGCAGAAGCGCCGCGATGGTGCTCCAGCGCGCGTTAGGGTCGCGATAGACAAAGCCGTGAGCTAAGACCAAATACCTTTGGAAGAGACCCGATTTCGCGGGAAACCACACCGTTCGGTGGGAGGGCTTGTGGACTTGCTGGGACAAGCCCGTAGTCAAATGGACAGTTGGGTCCGACAAATGTTCGACTTTTCATATCTTAATCCTGCCCTCGGTGCCTATCTACTCTTTGGGTGGGCAACCACCAAACAGGTCACAAAATGAGCTCCATCCAACCAAACCAGTGGTGCCACGACACTCTCGCAGCAAGGTGCCCGTGACAAGCTGGAATTGCAGGTCATACCAGGCGTGATAAGTGGTCGCCGCGATGACCAGGCCAGAACTCGGGACATCCAATCGATGAATAAAACCTGCAGGGCGCTTGGCTGACTGTGTTCGTTTGGACATCGGGCCCATTAAAAGAAACAAACTTACAAAAAAACAACCAACAAAAAGAACATACCAGGAGTCACAAGGGGGTGGTTTTTGGTCCCTGCGTGAGTGGATAATGGGCACCCCTATCCTCCAATGGGCACCCCTTTGTGACTGCTGGTGCGCAAGCCAACCCAGGGAACCGCAGCCATGCTTGAGATCAGTCAGGATGGGAAGGCGGCCCCGCTGGAGGTTGACTAAATAGTCTGCTAGCTGCCGCTCAGCATTGCCGTCATAGACCTCCCACCCTGGTGGCTTGGCAATGACCAGGACCTCCGACATGTCGAGGACCACCCAGGGATCGCGGTATTCGCGGGAAATGCCCCGAGTTGCGCATGGACCGTCCTCTGCTTCTTGGTGAAGGTTCCTCTCAGCACGTGGACCCGCTGGGGCTTTCAACATGCAAAACGCCATGCCATGGCAACCATCCACTTGGGCTCTGGTACAGCATGAGCCAAAACTTATTCTTCATGCCACCTGAAGATCTCTCTAGATTTCTCCCAGATTCTAAATTGGACTCGTTGGACTTGGATCATTTTGCCTGGACCTATGTCCCCCTGCCCGGCGGCTCTCCTGGTGCCCTTCCTTCGGTCCATCTCTCGGGAGCCTTGCGCCAAGACCGCTTGCGCCTGTCGCGCCAAGCGCATCGCCAGGCACCCGGAGAAGTTCCAGGCCCAGACCACGCCCAGCACCGAGTTCGCGAAGGAGACCCAGTCCTGGATCGACCCACCAGGAACCAAATTCTGCCAGCGAGAGGGATCGACTCATCCGAGTGCCTCAACTTCTTCGTTCTTCTTCTTCTTCTTCTTCTTCTTCTTCTTCTTCTTCT